TATAAGCGGTCACAGCCGAAGCAAATGCTTCCCGCGCAACTGCTCCGGTGCCACTCTTGCTGGAAGTTGTATCACTGTCTGTGCTGTCGGAGCTGAGCTTCATGGAGTACCATTCGACGATGTCGGCCTCGGTGAACTTAGGGATCTTCTCCATCCAGTTGGACCACTCTTGGCAGAGACGGCGGTAACGGAAGAGGACGATGAACAGAAAGGCGTACATGACTGGGATGTAGATCTGAAGGTCGTTGCCGTTGACGAAGGTCGAGAGAATGGGCGAGATCAAGAGAAGGGGGAGGGTTTGCAAGACGACCAGTCGCCCAGAAGACAGAGGGGCCTCGTGAAGATGCATTGTGCTCATGATACCGAGAACGTTGAAGTAGGTGGTGATGCTGACCAAATATGCAAGAAAGACAAAGCCAGCACCGACTGATTTCTGGAGGGAGAAAGCGATGAGACCACAGATGCCCACGGCAAGAGTCAGGACGAAGCCTCCTGAAAGTCGCTGTACGTGGAAGTAGATCATGTTGTCGTAGGCGTAATGGGCGATATAGAAGTTGCCTGTGCTTCCAACCCATCCTGTGACACCAGCAGTCAGAAGCATGGCCGCCAAGAGGGCAAAGCCTGCTACCTCGAGATGGTCGGGCTCCATGAAAGCCGTCATGAAGCATCCACGGCCGACAAAGGTGAGCAGCGTGACATCGACAATGGCGGGGAGACAGAAGATGGAGAGAGCACCAGCAGCTGCGAATTGCTTCTTCCACTTCTGAATCCTTTCGTAGGCCGTGAGATCAAGCGAAGGAGAGCTTGGGTTGGTCCTGTCCTCCTTCTCTTCGGCTGGCCGAACATCAGAGCTTGGATACATGGTCATGATCTCCTTGCCCCTCCTGTAATCTGCAGGAGGAGGGTCATCCTGAAGAAGGAGACGATACCTCTTGGAGATGACTTGTCCGATGTCTCGAGGCAGGAGATCAAAGTAGATCTGACATTGGGAGCCAAGGATCCAAAGCTCAGAGAAGACAGCCGCTTGGTCAGGCTCAGAGAGGAAAAGAGGGCATCGATCTGTGGTCTCAAGGTAGACGTCCTCAAAGGCAGCCCGGCGAAGGATCTTGAAGAAGACGAGGGCAAAGAGATCAGCGTTGACGTCAATGTAGTCACAGTTGTTCCATGACTGCCATGGGTCAAGGGTTGATAGCAGGGTCTGGGTCAGGGCCTTGAGAACCTTTCTGTCTCCAAAGAACAGGGCTTCATCAACAGTCTTCTGGGTGGTCTCATAGAGACGAACAAGATTGTCCAGGGCAGGCAGCTTGTCGGCACCCTGGCGCATGAAGTGCTCGAGGCGCATCTTCAAGACATCTCGCATGCTCAACGAGTCGTCGAGAGCGGCACGAGCACAGAGTTGCCTCCAGGCGACCTTGGATGTCTCCTCAATGAGAAGCGAGCGACAGTATTGGCTTGCTGCATCGGTGATAGGATGGTTGACCCTCGACACACGAAGTCTCTGCGTGAGACTGAGGGCCTCGCCATAGGTGGCACGCTTGATCGACTCTCGGATGCTGATAGGAAGGCCAGATCCGTCAAGGGTGTTGTTGGCCTCCTCAAGTCTGAGCTCTTCCTCGAATCTCTGCTCCCGGAGGACATCATTGTGAGCCAGCCAGGTGTGAAGAACAGCAGCAGCATCCTCAGGGGCCTTCAGGCTGATAAAGATGTCGACACAACGGTCGGTGGCAGAGTCACGATCCTTTGAAACACCCCAGAAAGAAACATCAGCCCGAGGGATCTGAAACCCGGTCTTGAGACCCTTGAAGACGCGAATCTGCCGAGACGCGAGCCCAGAGACGAGATCTTGCACCAAGCCTTGGCAGTGGGTGGTTTGTTGCAGGGATCTGAGAGACGCGAGTAAGCGCTGCTCATCGTTCCCTTCAATCGCCTGCAGCATGCCAAGCTCGCCGAGATGAACCTGTGTCTCCACTATGGCATCGAAATGCTCCGTAGTGGGCTCTGAGGTGAGGGGGAAACATCCGAGGGGGGACAAAGAGGTGCCTCCATTTCCGGATTCCCAAAAGCTGGCTCTTTTCGGGGCCAGTTCGAGGTATTCCGGAGAAGGAGTGTAGATAGACGTCTCGCGGCTAAGGCGTTTGGCTGATTGAGACACATCGACATGTCTCAACAGCTCGGAAGCCCTTGGAATGATGGCGTCAAGGGCGTCTGTGGGGAGAGTTGCCACATCGGCTGTATCCGAGACACCCGGAACCCACGTTTTCCGGGATTCAGTTGTCCAGGATTTTTGCAACTTAGGAATGTTAGTGAGGGTCATGGTATTTAATATAGAGTTGCCTTACCTCAATCAATTCGGACCGTCGCAAGTACTCAAAGGCGCTCATAGTTCTCATTGGGTTGCTAAGAGCCGATGCCTTGACATCCATTGAAGGCTCAATAGGGCCATGGTCAATCACGGCGCCAAAGTGCTCGGCAACCTTGACAGCTCGACGGATGACAGATGCCTTGGGACGAGTCTCCCAGCGATCAAGGAAGCCAGCAAAGAACTCTGGCCGCTCCTCACGCTCTTGGCTGCATCGTGCCATGATGTCTCGGAGTCTTCTGGCCTTGAAGTAATGCCGACGCTCACCGTTGGGTAGGATGCATGCATTCTCGATCATGACTCCAGAAGCGAGTGAGAAATCGACCTTATCAATGGCCTCACAGTCATGGTGGCAGAGAAGAATCACTGACACGTCGAGAGCTTGCAGACTGGTCAGGAGACGTTCAATCTGCTCCGGCTTCCTGGCAGTCGTGCATTGAAGCGCAAAACCGGCCAGGTTGTGCTGAAGTTGGGTCTGTGCCAGGAAGCCAGCTGTGATGGATAGATGAGGTTCCTCCAGGGCATCATTGCCAAAGTCTTCCATGTGGACATGGGCGAGGCTCATCTTGGCTGACACAGATCTGAAGGACTGCATGGATGATCTTGAGTCTCCGGACCCCCCAGTGACACCACCAGCCATGGCAAGGGGCATGACGACGAGGTCATAACTTCTTGCGTTGTCTTGAGGTCCGACGAGGCCGCCGTCAAGACCAAGACCAGAGACAACTCGGAATGTCTTTGTGAGACGGAATGAGGGTGTTACAGACCCTCGACTCGACTGAGGCCTGGACCCAAGCCGGCTGCTGCCAGTCCTCTGATGGGAGAATACAGCATCGCCATCACGAGTTGGTGCCCGACTTGAAGATTGTTGTTTTGATGTCGTTGGCCTGTAGTTACTGGGTAAGTGTCTTGGCCTATGGGAGAGACAAGGGAGGCCACGTACCTTGGCAACGGTGGTTTTACGGGTCCTTTAACGGCCGGAAGGGTACGACGTTGAAGCACTTTGTAGATTAGATACAAAGTGATGGGGACCACAATACACACTCCGCCCAAGACCAACCCCACTAGTTGGTAGAGGTTGTTGAACAGCAAGTGTGATGGAAGTATGCTGTTGCAGTAGACTTCAAAGGTAGAGTTGGGGCAGTCTTGGCGGGCTGGGTCATCCAGCCCAGGCTGAAAAAAGGACGCCATAGCCAAGGACGAATAGGGAAAGCCGAGAAGGGCTTTGGAGGAAAGGGGAAATAAGAAAATGTAGAGAACGAGAGACTGAGCGAGCGGACGGGGACCTCCCACGACGACTTGGAGTCGAGCACTAGAGGCTCACCTATACAAGAGTTGACATTGATGTAAGACAAGAACAAAAAAGGGAAGGTGAATAATGAATGAGGGGAAAGGAAAAGCACGTAAGACGACAAACTGACTGACAGACAGACAAGGAAAACAGAGACCTGCAGGAAAGCTGAAAAACAGAAGTAGAGACAGAAGAGAAAGGGGAGTGTGCAGCGGGTAATGGGCATGTCCATGTCATGGCCAGCACAAGAAACTGCATCTTGACAAGTCAAGACAGCAACGACGGGCCCTGCCAAGAAAAGACAGCGGTTGGGCCGTGGCGCCAGAGTCTAGGAACGGGTTGGAAAGTGGCATCCATCCAGGGGAGGCGTGATGAGAGGAGACTGACACACGCCAGGGGGGTCAGGGGTGGAAAGGGTGCCAAGACAATAGCGCACTGCAGGTTGAGCGCAACGTCGGTGGTCGTGCAATACCCGTTTCTCAAGAATAAACCGCCATCGAAACGAGGTTCAACTCGGATCATCCAGTGGCCATGCCATGGACGCGGTGGACGTGGCTAGAAGCATTGGATCTCCAGCTACTGCACTCTCAGCTGGCCTGGTAGGGCCCATCAAGTCTCCACCAACATTGCCACCCCCGTCTTCAACTCACCAGCCTGGTAGTAGCGTAGCACACGGAGTACCATACTCCGTACCGCTCACCAGGTTCCAGTCTCAGGTCCAAACTTAGAGCGGACTTGAGACTCGATCTAGAAAAAGGAGAGGCCGGGAGGGGGCGGCAAGAGCGAGGCGCCTCAACTGCAGCCCGTTTCTCTTGGCATGGAGAATGTCGATGCCACGGTCGTGTTGTTGTTTGATTCTGTTTTTCCGCCGGGTCCATGATGCGCTCTTCCAAGGACACGACTTGTCCGATCTGGTAGCCTCAAGGAAGAGAGACGGTATACACGCCCCCCTGAAGGGCCACCCACACCCAACGGACCGAGACCTGTTTCTGCGTCTCGGCTCATGCGTCCGTGAAGTGACGTTTTTTATGAAGTAGTCAGTTAGTCGGCTGCTGAGCTTACAGCCTCGCCAGTTTCTGAGCCCGCCCACCCCGGTTTGAAATTTCAAAGACGGTCTCTTGTCACTGTATAAACTGTCATGTCGATCCCGTTTGCTCTGTAATTTACCTTTGCTACCACTGCAAAATCGAAGCCGGCAGCCCAGTCAAAATGTCTGGATATCTGAGCAGCCGTTCGTCGTCGACCTCGTCTCTTTCGTCGTCAAACTCTTCACCTCTCACAACTCCAGGCTCAGAATCAGATCTGGGCTTGGCAGTGAGCAGTGTTCCCCTTTCCACCTCCAATGGCAGTTTCATCCTCGTCACTGGCGGCCTTGGCTTCATCGGATCACACACCACTCTCGAGCTGCTCAAGGTCGGATACAATGTGATCATTGTCGACGACCTCAGCAACAGCTACCATGGTGTCTTTAGCCGCATCAGAATTCTGGCAGAGAAGTACTGCGAAGAGCAAGGCCGCAAGATGCCTGCTCTACACTTCCACAAGCTCGACTACCGCAGCAAGGCGATGCAGTTTCTCCTAGAATCATACTCAACACTCGTCCCAGTCTCAGACGACACAACTGGGGAGAGCATCAGGAGAGAATCTAGAGTTGCAGGCGTCATCCACTTTGCCGCCTTCAAGTCTGTCAGCGAGTCAATCGAGAGGCCCTTCCAGTACTACCGCAACAATGTCTGTGGACTGGTCGACTTTGTTGAGCTTCTTGGAAAACACAACATCCGCAAGTTTGTCTTTTCGTCCTCAGCAACCGTCTACGGCACCAAGGCCGAAGAGGGACGTCCTCTGCAGGAAGAGGACCTTGTCCACCACAGCACAACATACCAGGACGAGATGGGCAACCAGAGGGTGGCAGAACCAGTGGTGTCGGGGCTGCAGAGCCCGTACGCGCGTTCCAAGTATTTCTGCGAGGCCATCCTTGCCGATATTGCGCACGCAGATCCTTCTTGGCGAATCGTTGCTCTCCGGTACTTTAACCCCATTGGGTGTCACCCATCCGGCCTGCTCGGGGAGGACCCCAAGGGAATCCCGACCAATCTCTTCCCGGTAATCACACAGGTGCTTACTGGGGAGAGGGCCCAACTCGACATTTTTGGCACTGACTGGGAGACTCGAGACGGAACCGCCATCAGGGACTTTATCCACGTGGCTGACCTGGCCCGAGGACACGCTGCAGCCCTCGGAGCCGAGATCAGTGCGCCGTTCCGCACATTCAACCTGGGCACAGGCACCGGCACAACAGTGGCCGAGGCACTGCAGAGCCTCGAGGCTGCATCGTCTCGGCGGATCCCCGTCAAGCTGGCGCCTCGCAGGGGAGGCGATGTGGGCTTTTGCGTGGCGGCCAACGACCGAGCGGCCAGTGAGCTAAACTGGACGGCGCAGGAGTCGATCCAGCAGTGCGCAAGCGACCTGTGGAACTTTGTGACGCGGTCACAGTCACAACCACAGGTTCAGGCGCAGGCGCAGGTGCAGCAGAAGCAACAGCATAAGCAGACGCAGCAGCAGCCACAACAGCAGCACGCACAGGCACAGCGGTGACAGTCCAGGACAGGGGCAGTTCGGATTTAGCAGTGGGATAGGGAGGGGATATCAAGTGGGATGGGTTTGTTTTTGCTTTGTCAGGGTTGGTTCTGGTGTGTTGGTCATCCATGCCATGTCGGCTAATGTGGGTTCTGGACATGCATTCTCATACAATCATACATAGTAGAAATATCTAATAATGGGCACTCGCAGCAGAGGATGTAACCTGACATCCATGAGGGCGGAGAAAGGCAAAAAAAAAAAAGAGGGTATGTAGGGAACTAGTCATGAAAGGCGGAAAATGCAATTCGTATTCGACATTCTCTGACTCGGTCCTTGATCCATGACGTATATTTAACTTGAGCTTTGTTGTCCCGAGAGGCCAAGTGGACCGTTTCGCCGTCCTGATGGCCCGTCTGCTAAAGCACCCCTAGAGCAGCTGAAAGGAACGAGAAACGAGATTTAGCACCTTTGGATGGCGTCAACGCGGCTAATGGGCACGCCAAACGCCCCCAAAACACGGCTGGTTGCAGTGGCTCTGCAGTGGCTTGTTAGTGCTCAGGTGTCAGGGACAGGGGGTGGCATCCTCTGCGAGGAGTTCACTCCTTCGAGATAAGCTTAATTAAGCGCCTCAAGACACCAAGAATTAATCTCCTCCCCCCGGGTGGCTGATCGACGGTCGTCCCGCTGTCTCACTAGCCAGGAGACCACAGGAAAAAACGAGAGGATGGATCTGTTCTCAGGTGGTGCTCCATACATACGAACGTGCGTGGCAGAAGTAGGCAACTAAGCTTAACATGGATACTCAAACCTTATAAAATACCTCTTTTCGACGGTCTCTCAATGGGTCTCGCATTGTTCCTCCTCCAAAAATAGAGGCAAAAAGATCCCCAACCCACCATTGACCTCCTTCATCTCTCCCCCCCTTTCACTCAGCACTCTCTCACACTTCACCCATCTCTCACCACCACGAACGGAATGGCGCCCGCATCACCCCCTAGCACGCCTTGCATCGTCGTTCCACTTTACATTTATCCGCTAAGTGGCGCCTGGGACTCCATCTTTGAGTCCGCCCGCGCCAACCCCCATGTGTCCTTCATCGTCATTGTCAACCCCTGCAACGGCCCTGGCCCTGACCCTTTCCCCGACTCGAGCTACGCGGCAAATCTGAGCCGCCTGGGCAAACTTGGCAACGTCGTCCCTCTGGGCTACGTGCATTGCAGCTACGGCGACCGCCCTGTGGCCGACGTCGAAAGAGACATCGGCATTTATCTCGGCTGGAACGAAAAGTTCAGGGTAGATGGCATCTTTTTCGACGAGGCTCCCTCATCGGCCGAGGGCATTCCTCTGATGGCGGGTCTGGCCCAGTTTACAAGGTCTCGCTGGGAGCACGACACTGGCCGGACCGGGCTGGTGGTGCTCAACCCTGGTGTGGTTGTCGATCCGGGCTACTACGAGTATGCCGACCACATCGTCGTCTTTGAGCAGTCTGAGCAGCACTGGAACGAATACTTCACGACTCAGGCCGTCGCTCAGATCCCCTCCCACCTGAGTGCCAAGGCCGTAGCCATGGTCCACTCATGCCTGGGCGATGCGGCGTCCTTGGCACGCCAAATCGGCGAATTGGGATTCGGCGGCCTGTACCTGACGGACCAGCTGGGTGGAGGTTACAACAGATGGCCCGACAGCTGGAGTCTCATCGTCGACGAGGTGGGCCGCTCGGGACAGCCCCAAGTCGGGTCCGGAGCTTCCGGAGAGGCCGCTCCAGCGTGAATGGATGGCGTGTAGGTTCCCCAGGGACTCGCAGGGAGGGCTAGAAAAACAGGGCAGGGCTGGCCAAGGTGCTAGAATCGTCGGTGACCAGGTTTTCGGGGAATATGGCTAGGTTGAGATGGGGAAAGCCGCAGAATCAGGTGGAGAGAATGGAAGACTCAAAGATGGATGGATGGCTCAAGATCGGTGGATTTAATTATTTTAGGTTATTCAATGCGCTGGCTCCATAGAGAGATCCATCAAAAATACGAATGAAACAAAGCCCGTCCGTCCGCCTGCCCGTCCATCCAAAACAGTCCGTCCGTTCCATCCAACCGCTTCCACCGGAGGGTTCGTGCACGCACGCTCTTAAGTGTCGCACGTTAAGCGTCCCCATCCCATCGCATCACATCAATCTAATCTCAAGAGTCCACGTCAGTCGTGTACTTCTTACCGTCGCAGTACTGGACCCAGCCGTTCAGATCCATGGTCTTGATCACGGTGCTGAAGCGCTCTGTCCCCGCCGCTTTGCCCTTCTGGGAGCATATTTCGCTTGAATCCTTGCTTGAAACCTTGTTCGGCGTCCCCTTGGGGTACTCGATGTGAAAGACGGGCTTGTCGTTCTCGACAAATTCGGCGAACGTTTCGCATTCGGCGTACTCGACGCATTGCTCGTTAACGGAGAAATGCACATCCGAGATGACGTCGGGGATGATGTCTCCAGCGTTCTTGAGGCCTGTCGACATGTTGAACGAGGCTGCCGTGTCTGCCAGGAACTTGACAAAGGAGACTGCATCGTCGGAGGTCAGGTCAAGGCCGTTCTCGTTTTGCTATACGCGGTCAGCCCTCGTTCTTCGTATTGCTTTGCTCTAAGCGACGACTCACGAATCCATCGACATTGTCTGGGTCAATAGCGTCGCATCCCTTCTCGGCCGCATACTCGATGCGCTTCTTGATGATGGTACGCACGGCTGGGCTGGACACGTTGAGCCAGCGCTCATCAGGCCATCCGTCGAGCTCGTCACCAAGATCGGTCTCGTTGAAGTCGTCCTTGTCGTCGCGCCAGTCCTCCCAAGAACCAGCGCTGAAGTAGCAGATGACCTTCTTGCCGGCCTTGTGGAGGGCGGAAAAGGTAGACTCGTCGTTGTCGTAGAGGTCAATATCGTAGATGTCGACGTCGGGAGTGACCTTGCCGTCGTCGCTGATCTCTATGGGCTTGATGAGGATGATCTGCCAGGCAGCGCCTACCTCTGGCTGCCAGATCGAGGTACGGTTGGTGTCGCCACCAGGAGTGTCGTTGTCAGAGCCAGAGTCGTCCTGGTCGTCGTCGCCAGAGCTGTCATCATCTCCGCCCTTGTTCTTGGACAGGCCGACACCCAAGCCGACGGCGAGAGGGATAACAATGATGAGGATGATGCCGACGATAGCGAGCTTCTTCCACAGAGGCCAAGACTTTTTGGTGTTGACCTTGTCGCCAGCTTCTTGGGCCGCGGAGGCCGCGGAAGACTTCATCGTGGGGCACTCGGAGGTGCTAAAATTGTGACAGGAACAGGAAAAAATGGTGAATGAATGACGAGAAGGGGACAAATTATTACACTATTAGGGAACAAACGAGTGTCGTAGAAGGCGATGATAACAATGAACAGTGAACAAGTAAGTAAGCGCTTGAAAAATGCAACCAAAAACGTCGAGCAATATGTCGTGACTTGGCCGCAGTTTTCGCCCTGGTTTGAACAAGGCTGAATGAGGCCTTTGCTAGAGGCAACCGCTGGCCCATCTCCCACGGCATGGACGGAGAAAAGGGCCCTCCAAGAATAACCTGGAATTGAAACATGTTTCTGATTGGCTACGGATCGAGCCAACGTATTTCCGGCCCGCAAAGGGTCATTTCCGTGCTCCATCCGAGGCGCCAATGCTAAAACGCATCTCACCCCTCCCCCTTGTCTAGAGAGAGTCAACCCCTGACCAACCCTGGACGCCTCCCTAGATCGATTGTCGAGGCTAGCCAAGGCACGGCAGTTGTCACATCCTACGCTACGCCCTCGACAACGTTCCACAGCATACGTACTACGACTCAAGCGTTACTGTGGCTGGGTGGACGGAATGGATGCCAGCAACGGTCGCCCGCCTGCAGTCCACACCACACGCAGCGCACGCACCTGAAACCCAAAAGAAAAAAATTTGCAAGAGCGCCTATTTCTTGGCGATGCCTGTCTTGTTCTCTCGAAGCGGTAATTCGCCTCGCTCTTACCTGCTATCATACATTGAATGCTTATGCGGTTCCCCCTGAACCGCCGACAACCACCCCGTCCTTCTCCACCCCAAGCCAGGCCGCGTCGTCTCTCGTCACAGAGGAATCAATAGTTCGACACGGGCTGGCTTAAGGACCATGCTCAAATCTCTCGCTCGCGAGGCTGCAGTGGTCAAGCGTGTGCGTGCGTCGATAGCCAGACCATGGCTGAAAGTCGCCATCCATGGAGGGAGGTCCAGTCCTGCAAATGCGTTGGCCACGGTACGGTTGGTGGTGTTTTGTCAGTCTACTTTGTACTTTTAAGATCCGCATTAAGACTTGAGATTCTGCTCTCTTGTTCTCATGCCCGTCCCTGTTCATCATTCACTCGTTCCCTTCTTGCCCCTTGGCATCACCCTCGTCACTCACTAGTCCTTTCTCTACTCTCTTTTTGTTTGATTTTTGTTCTTGTCTGGCATAATGCGTTTGTCCTACAGCCTTCTCGGCGCTATTGCGCTGGCTGGGACTCATGCCTCTCCCTGCATCCCCGGTGACTCTGTCACTGTGAGCATCTCTACCACGACCGTCACAGAGACTGTTGGTACCACCACCTCTGAGGCTGCCTCTTCCTCCGACAAATCCGATACTGCGTCTTCCTCAGTGTCAGGCTCTGTCTCGGATGTTTCAGTGTCTTTCACCAGGTCATCTACAGAGTCTGCTTCCACTGCAGATGATGACACCAAGTCCAAGACTGAGACTGCCACCTCTGCCACTAGCGGGTCTGACGCCAGTGTTACAACTGAGTCTGTCTCAACGGTGACATCCACTAAGGACTCTACTAAGTCTTCTACTGGATCAACTGGCTCTCAAGACACTGCTTCCACTGCCACCACGGCTACCTCTGATGACTCGAAGGAGTCGTCCACTGCCTCTACCAACTCTCATGACACCACCTTGACTTCCAAGTCTGGCGATGCCTCCACCACCACCTCCGATGCCTCCTCCCAGACCACCGATGTCTCCAAGACTTCGTCGGATATCTCTTCTCAGACTACGTCCGATGCTTCCAAGACCTCGTCTGATGCTTCCAAGACCACATCGGATGCCTCTTCGCAGACTACTAGTACTTCCGAGACTACCACTGGTACATCGTCCCAGACCACATCTGAGGCTTCCAAGACTACTTCTGCGACCGAGTCTACCTCCACGAGTGCCGCTGACTCTACTACCGAGTCGGCCACCACATCCAACTCGCTCTCTGCCCGCAGTGTCAGCGTTTCATCTTCCACAGAGACTACCTCCGCATCGTTGACAACTTCGTCTGCCTCTGCCACTTCGGCAGCCTCCTCCACCACGTCTGATTCCACCTCTTCCTCCACATCCAGCAGCCAGCTTCCCGTCGGCACTGTCGGCAGCACCATCCTCATCTTTGCCAAGGATGAGTATGCTGCTTCATCCGCTGGTTGGGGTTTCGATGGCTATGGCATCCCCTTTGAGAAGGTCCTTGTCCCTCAGAATGGATTTGAGCTGCCCACTCTCAACTCTTCCTCTAGCAAGGGTAACTATGGTGGCATCGTGGTTGTAGACTCTGTCTCCTACGAGTACTCTGATGGTTGGAGGAGTGCCATCTCGACCGAGCAGTGGGAGAAGATCTACGAGTACCAGATCAACTTCAAGGTTCGCCTGGTCCGCATCAACGAGTACCCTGGTCCCAACTTTGGAACTTCTGCCTCTGGTGCTGGATGCTGCGCTGAGGGTGTCGACCAGCTCATCAGCCTTACTGATACCAGTGATTTCCCTACGGCCAATCTCAAGACGTAAGTTCTTTTCCACCTGATTCAATGCCATGAACTCAACTGACGATTCTTCAGCGACGCTGGCCTCTCTACCAAGGGCATCTGGCATTACCCTGCCACCATCACCGATTCCAACACCAAGCAGATCGCCAAGTTTGGCCCTGGTGGTGATTATACTGAGGACACTGTCGCCGGTGTCATCAACACGTTTGAGGGTCGCGAGCAGTTTGTCTGGTTCATCGGTTGGGCTGCAGACTGGTCCCAGACCACCAACTTCCTCCAGCACGCTCACATCCACTGGATCACCCGCGGTGTCTTCCTCGGCAAGCGCAAGGTTCACTTGAGCACCCAGGTTGACGATGTTCAGCTCGCCACTGGCCTGTACTTGCCCGCTGGTGAGGAGTTCAAGATCCGCACTGATGATCTGGAGGGCCATGTCGCCTGGCAAATCAGCCTCAACTCCCGTCTCCCTGCTGGATCTGACTATTGGCTCGAGATGGCTCACAACGGCAACGGTGATATCATTGCTGCTGTTGAGCAGCCTACAGGTGATGACAACTGCGTCCCTGACTATGCCGTCGACTATGACTATCCTCCTGACACTCCTCTGGAGTGGACTAAGCCCCCAGGCACTGGCGAGGACAAGTGGTCCGACGAGTTTGTCTACGGAGAGTATCCCTGGTCCCAGACTTGCGCACAACTTGACGAATTTGCCTCGTGGTTCCTCAACACGGACAACCTGAACGCTTTTGCCCATCTCTCGCACACCTTTACTCATCTGGAGCTCAACAACGCCACCTACAAGGATGCTGCACGCGAGATTGACTTCAACCGCGCTTGGATGAGCCAGATGGGTATTGACAAGGCCCAGCGTTACTCTACCAACGGTCTTGTTCCCCCTGCCATCACTGGCCTGCACAACGCCGATGTCATCCAGGCGTGGCTGGATAACGAGATTCTCTACGTAGTCGGTGACAACACCCGAACCCCCCTGAAGAACCCGAACAGCAAGTTCTGGCCTCTCATCAGCTCCGTCGAGGGTAACGGCTATGATGGCCTGGTCATTGTTCCTCGCTTCGCTACCACCATCTACTACAACTGTGACACTGCCGAGTGCACGACTCAGGAGTGGATTGACACCTCTGGTGGCTCCGGTGACTTTACCAACCTGCTGGATAACGCCAGAACCGAGAACACTCGCTACCTGCTTGGTCTGCAGGCTGACCCCTACATGTTCCACCAGGCCAACATGCGCCAGGTCGACATGGAGACCATCACCATTGGTGACCAGACGGGCAAGATGTCTCTTATCATGTCTTGGGTCGAGACCATTACCCAGGAGCTGTACCGTCTCACCGACTGGCCCATTGTGTCTCTGAAGCACGACGACATTGCCCAGTACTTCCTTGACCGGAAGACTCTGGACGACTGCAAGCCCCAGCTGTCGTATGGCTTCTCTGATGACGGAAAGACCATTGAGAGTGTCACCGTCACCGCCGACGGCAACTCTTGCTCTGTCCCCGTCCCCGTCACTGTGCCTGGTGGCGCCTCTGCTTCTGGCGGCTCGTCTAGCTCTGACACTCTGGGCTCTGAGCCTACCATTGAGTGGGTGACTCTGAGCGGCTCGCCCGTCACACTTACTCTCAGCCAGCCTCTTACTGTCTAAGGGGAAAGCCACGATGGTTGGTGATGTGATGCATGTATGGACGAACAGGGATTCGGGAACAAGGACAAATTTTTATTCCAGGTTTAATAATCTCTCTTGTTAAATTCAATTCAGAGGCACCTAGTCCTAGAAAAGTCGTCAATTTACGCATTCGGTACATACATGTTAAACTTTTGGCTTTGTGAATGTTTGATTGAATGAGTCCCCCTTTTACAGACGAATTATTGCGCACTACGCCAAAAGACAGAATTTTCAGTACAGTTGCATCATAGAAACTTAACGCCGCCTAAATCCGTAGCCATGCAAAGTTATCACCAAAGGCTCTGCTAACCGTAATTCCGCGAATGTCTGTTGGTCCGTTGGCCCTGACGATGCCAAGACTGAGGGCTGAAAGCCACTAAAGGCTTCTCCATCAGGACCCAGGCTCCAGGATGGTCCACGCCTGTGCCAAGAGGCGCCGGTGCCCTGGACTCGCCTGTCTTTCAGCTCACATTGTCTCGCTTCCATGTTTCGTCTGCACACGCCTCTGTACCTTGGCATTCGTGGCACAAGCCTCCAGATGGCTTTTCTGAAGGATCAGGTCATGCAGTAGATCAGGCTGTGGCATCTGCACATTCTCAAGCCTCAAACCACTCGCTTGGCCTGAGCGTAAACTATTGATTCCTGCAGCATGTCGCAACTAAACAACCGACGTCAGGCGTCGCTTACAAGTCTCTTCATTTACTAGGAATCAGTCACGTCAGATGCAACACCCCAGGCTCACAGTCAGGCTTGCATTTTTTTCTTCTGCCTGAGCTAAAACCCCTTTGTAATTCAGCTCACCACGGTTGCCGATCAATTACTGTAAGTGGATTTAGTCACCGCTCGAGTAAGCGAGTCGCGGAACCCGGCCGGACGGACTTTACCACGGACTTTGCTCAATTTCCTTACCCTAGAGAGCCTCGAAGAGGTCCTTGTTTTCTCAACATGTGGTCAAGAAGCGTAGTTTGAGGAGTAAATGCTATAGACCGCCCTATGATAGGGCTGTAGGACTGTATGTTCCTACCTAGTGTGCAAGGTTAATCATATAACACTGCGTTGCATTAATCCTCTATGTCTTCGGATTCTAGTCATCTTTCAAGTTGTTGACCGTAGAAGCAAGAGATGAGGGATATATTTCAGTTTGCCTAAACTTAAGCGCCCCTAAGCATTCACATTCTAGCAAGAGGAACAGGGACTCAATCACGGTTGTTTTTTTATCCAAAGAGGCTCCCATGGCCGTTCGAGTGAGTATCCCTTCGCATTCCGTAGAATCTATTATGTCTCTCTATTTCACACTGCTTCACCTCGGATTTTGCTTGGTTCGAGGTGCGATCTGAAGGCGTGATAGACAGGATTTGGAACTTTGCTCGTTTTTCGACACAACTGGCTGAGTAGCCATCGCAAAAATGGCATAGTCTCGTCTCGATTGTGGCCGTGGTAGCAGTAGAAATAGACGCACTCTACCTTGCTACTAGAACTTTGCTCACATCGCTTCAAAATGTGCCGGAAAAGATGCGCTGTTAGGACGGTGTTGCCGGCGTCGGGGATTCCATGCATCCAAATAACACGACTTTTTCGGTCAATCCAATCGTTCCAGGGCTGAGAACGAAAGACCCAGTCTCCCGTTCCATCGACGTACAAGTCAACGGCCGCGTTGTGGTTCGGAGAAGGGTTCACGATTTCCAACCAATCGCAAACTTCCCGTTTCTGTGCATCTTTGAAATGTCAGCTCTGTACATCAGGATTTTGAAACGGTTCGAGTACATGTTAATGTCTGGTTCGCAATGTCCACAGCGTTCTGTACCGTTCCCAACTCGTACCTGATTAGAAGGTTAGCGAATACGGTGGTGATCTTGAGGCTCAGCTTACAGTATCTGACCAGTGAGCGTCATGTTGATGGTGGCTTTGTGGCTGTTGAGCTCATCGAGCAGCTTGCGAGCCTTCTCACATTTCAACGGCCAGGCCAACGTGGTCCAGGTCGATTCTAGTTTTTTCTTCTTTGACTTTCTCGCCCCAGAGTGCGCGTTTGCCAGTGGCAACAACTTACTCAACTCACCGATCGCTTCATTGCAACCGGCGATCGGTCCGTCCGGGCGTTTCAGTATCTGTAATGCTTCGGAATCTTCTGGGTCATGGGGATCAAGGAAGCTTAGGGTTTCAAAAACGGCTCTGATTGAAGACGTCTCAAGGTAGATCAATCGAAGATCCTTGGGGTAGTCTTGATACGCATCAATGTACCACTTGCACGCGCCAATCACGCGCTCACTGAGTTGAAGAACGGCAATGATGCTGGCGGTGACTTCCATCGTTCTTGCTGGATCCTCGAGAACGAACCTCTCGAAGTTGTAGAAAATGTGAGACGAAATTCGAGAAAACAAAAGGGAAAAAGGATGGACTTTCTGAAAGCCTGGTGCCTAACGAAATTCTGCCTTGTGGCTTGGGCACCTGGTTATCTGAAAAGTGCAAATCATGCAGCCAACGAGAACCAGCCAAGCTTTGTAATTTCCATTCTGATGCTGGGAGGTGCATGCTTCATGACTTTTACATTAATTACTTAAAGCCGTCTCTTCTATATTCCACCAGTTTGCACCGCCAGTGAATCAGTCGACACACTGAGTGCCTTGCTACCGGAAGACTTCTTTACTATTGACTAGCCCAACCTGAAAGAGCAAGGGCAACACGTCACTAGAGATTTAACAGATTTGTGGTGGCCGGTTCAAGAGAACATGACACTAATGGACCACGTGTAGAATCGAAGTGATGTCAAGTATTTTAATTGGGCTGTTTTCCGTTGTGAGTGGCGCGGATGAGGGCAATCCCAACGGCAAAGAACAGCCAATATGTGAATACAAAGGTAGTAAAAATATGAAGAAGAAAGTGCCATAGGATCATCTTAAAGTGAAACCCCAAGAGTTCCCGCATCACTCATCCAAGATACCAACTGCTCATCCCCTCTAAGAGTACCAGGCGTTGATCTGGTACAGCTGGCCGTTGTACTCCCAAGTGCCGGACATCTTCTGCTCGGAATAGACACACTGGTTGATTATGTTCCTGCGACTATTAGTAACGGCTTGACAATCGATTGCTCCAAGACATACTCAGTGGCGTCCTAAAAGTGATATGTTAGCTTTGATCACTAGAGTTAAGGAAGAAGACGTACCCAGCAGTCCTTGAATCCCTTCTGGCTGCCAGTGTGCTTGCGGCTGAGGGAAACGTTGACAGTCACGGAAGCAAGACCCTTGATGGTCTTGGAAGAGCGAGTGGTGCAGTCCTTTTGGTACTCGCAATCCGTGTTGCCGCACATCTTGGCGCGAGCATCCCAATAGGCATCAGCCCACTTGGAGATGCCGCTCTGGGTGTTGCCGAAGCAGTCGGCGGCAAAGGCCGAAGCGACGACGAGGCTCAGGGCGGAAAGGTTGACGATCTGCATCTTGTATGTTGAGGCGTGCGAGGTGAGAGAGAACGAAGTGATGGCTGAAGAGTAAAGTGCAAGAGTATCTGGGATGCAATTCTGGGAGACAGGTCTCGCGGCCTTTTATATCCCGCCGACTCCATATAAATCTAAAGGCATATTGCCCTTCAAAGCCTAGCCAGAGGCAACGGAGTAGGCAAGGACCAAGCACAGTACCTCTAATTGGTCATGTAAGCCGTCAGCCAAATGCACTTCCCCAGGGGTCGTCGGCTGACGGACAGCGGAATATGACAAGAACCCGCCGTAGCTCTCAGCTATTGGGCAATTTTATTGGACGTTATATACGGACGTTTCATCACAACATTACACGTGCACGTCAGCATTTAGTTCCATTTCAACTGCCGTGTCAAGACCCTTTGTTCTCAGCTGTGAAAAATGAGACCGCTTTCGTCTATTGCAGCCGATATTCCTAAGCATTGACTACTCAATGGAGATGACAGGAATGCATGTCTGAGGGAATATGACCAGCCACTCAGCAGCCTCTCTGAAGGATCCAACTCCTTCATTGGTAGCGCATAGTTCCACGAGAACAAGATAACATAGGTTCTAGACCACCCCCTGGCCTACACCGCATATACATCAAACAGCAGACCCCAAATGCTGACGGGTCCTCGCAATCTGGGGCCAAGCTAGCCAATCTGGGCTGGATGATGGGAGTCACGATGGAAATCATTTTGGGCCGACCAACGTTGTGAGTCGATGCTGTTCCAGTGGCGCTGGACTCGGGTCGCCTTCTCACGTCTTTAGGCACTGCTTGGGAGAGGTGTCATGCCTATGGTTGTACGGGGAAGCCTGCAATGTAACCATCTTGCTAGCTTAGGTAGTACGGATTTTCAGCTTCTTTGAGCCAGTGACCACCAGCTATCCTCGTCCCTCCCATGCGAGCCGTTATGTCAAAGCAACATGGCCATGGCATGTTTCCTCCATAGCAAATACGAACATGTTAGCACCCCTCGAGACGAGAAACCCAGCCCTGTGAACGCAGGGGCACCTCGCAGATTGTTGAACTATATGTATGTAGCATGGGGTCGTGCAGGTGAATAAGTGAAGATAAGCGACAAATCGAATAACTAAGAAAACTTACCGCTAATTTTAAAAAAGTTCTTCTGCCCTTGCTCGAGCGTCATCTTCTTCGAACATATCATCCGAGATGCCTATGATGGCCAAGTTTGTTTTGACCAGAGACGCGTTGGGTGAGACGCGACTTCACGTGACCTCACTCACTTTCATGCATCATCTCGCTCGCAACCACGCTGCAAGTAGATTTTGTGAAGAGTTTGAGCTAAATAAAAACATTTATATATGTATAGCTTGGGAATAGTATCAGTTTGATCGTAAAGATGGCGAGGGCACGTTAAAAATTTTGCTTAAACTGAGAATCGGTGCAGGGTAAGTTGACACTTCCCACCCCCCAGAGACGCTTCCCACACGAGCTTCCCACCTGTGTGTCGGCATATTCTAGAAGTTAATTCCTAGTAAAGAGTTAGTCTTCCCTGTTTTTGTAAGGCAAATTGCGGTCAAAATATTATGTCGGCGATGTATCCCAAATTGTGATGGTTCAGATGAAGTCCGTTGGGTGGCTGAGATAAGATCCGGCTAATGGCTTATGCGGGTGGCTTATTGATCATGACAACTGTCACACAACCCAATAATATCCTCCAAGGCTAAGCATAACTTGTAATTTATTACTTCTGACCAAGCGGAGAATTCCCTCATTTACGAGATAACCCATACCGGAAAGGAAGCTGGTAAACACTGCCGAACCGTCATCCCGTCGGCATCGTGGTTAGCTTGCCGATGCCGTCACCCGCGTTCCGGCGTGCTCCACAAAGATGCCTCAGACTAACGGATAGTTCGGAGGTCAGTATCCGCTGTACCCGTGGATGTCAAACACCGAGATGCCTCAGGCAGACACGTTAGTGGCAGCGCGTCAAAGAGATCCAATGTCTCAGACCGCGCCAACAAACTTAGCACGAGACACGTCACAAAAGATCACCAATGCAACAATTGACAATGATGACCAGGAGCAGAAGTTTAGCCGCTTCACTGAGGCGAGCCACTGCAAATTCGCTGTCAGGCGCTGGATCGGCTCGTTACCAAAGAGGTTTCCATACTACACCATGGGCACAGACGGATGGAGTTTTTCCTGGTCTCACGGACACGAGGCTCCGCATCCCTTGGATTGAGGCCTTGCGAATTCAGCAGGGGCACAAAGATGCTCAGGCGCCAGAGAAGCCAAAGGAACGTGACCTTACTCCAAAGAAGATGAGTGATAGTTATCACCGCGTCGTGCTCCCATTGGGACAAGATCCTTGGCTATCCGACACTTACATCAATTCTTCTGGCCACATAAGGTAGACAACTTGAAATGCTGATGAATTTAACTAAACGTTATTCAGACTCGGCACATTGTTCATGGACTTGGATGCCCTCTCCGGCATCATTGTCTACAAGCATACCGGCCCTGGAGTCACGACAGTGACAGCCGCTTTGGATCGAATCACCATTGCACACCCTCTCACAGAAATCTGTGATCTCGAATACAGTGGTCAGGTTACATATGCTTCTGGGCGGAGCAGTGTGGAGATTACATGCAAGGTCGCCAAGGCTAGGGCTGAGGGTGAGCCAAGCAAGCCCGAGGACGTCCTGCTTACCTGCACATTCACCATGGTGGCGCTAGATCCCGAGACTAGGAAGCCTGTCAACCTGCCTAAACTTGAATACACTACGCCAGAAGAAGAGAAAATATTCAAGGCGGGAGAGGCAAAGTCGTTGTTGAAGAAGGAGGCTTTCAAGGCTTCACTCCTCCAGTCGGAGCCCAATGACCCTGAGTCAGCCCTGATTCATAACATCTGGCTCCGGCAACTCGCATATCACGACCCCAACAACCGCCTTCGTCAGCCGAAAAACGTCGTTGCCATGGCCAAGACCCAACTATCAACAGCGGCCATCATGCAACCTCAATACCGCAACCGACATCAGACCATGATCTTTGGTGGATTCCATCTGAAGCAGACCTTCGAGCTGGCTTTCTGCTGCGCCGCCAGTTTCGCTCATGCGCGACCAACCTTTATCAGTGCTGATCCTTGCACATTTCGCAACCCTGTCCCTGTTGGGAGCGTCTTGTACCTGACTGCTACGGTTGCATATACTGATCCTCCGCTGCTGGAAGAGGACGGTACGGAGCCTGAGCAACAAGACCCTGACAGGCCCATGACGCGAGTCCATGTCCGAGTCGACAGCAAGGTTAGGGATGTTGAGCACGGAGTTGCAAAGTCGACGGGTCAGTTCAACTATACCTTTTCTGTGCCCAAGGACCTCAAGGTTCTGCCACACACGTATGAAGAGTACATGATCTATATTGATGCTCGGAGACGAGTTATGGAGAGTGACCGTCATCGCAAGACAGAGTCGATTCCCCGGCTTGGCCAGGCGAGCAACGACACTCAAGACGTCAACCTGATGGGTTAGAAGTAGAGTGTCGGTTGGTAGAGTATTTGCATTTGCCGTTTTCTAGTTCATAGTCCTTCCAAGTACCCAGCAGAGAAGGATTAATAGACAAGGATCTCCCACCAATCTCTTCCTGAGTTGTCGCCACAGAAAATATTAGGCTTCAGTCGTCTCTTCTGGCTTCCTGGCCCAGACATAGCGCAAGTTCATGTACGAGTGAATCCGCTTGTCCCTCAGCGCCTTGCGCAAACCCATGAGGAAAACCTGGTATTCGTCCTTGGGCCAACCCATGACCTGATGCCATAAGATCATCGTATACCCTAGGAGACGTTAGAACTTATTTCACCTAGAAATTGCTACTCATATGTTTAATGATTCCTGACCTTCCATGTCATTCTCCATGGTCGACCGGAGAAACTGGCCCACTTGCTGAAGCTTGGGGTCTTTGGCCCAGCTACCGACAGGAACCTGAAGTTCACATTAGACATCTGCTGCAAACAAACAAAGTTGCTTGGATTGACCCCTCACCTTGAAGTTTTGCTGTTGGATCTCGACGAAACCCGCTGCTTCCAGTCCCGGTACCTGTAGGCCCTCATCCACGACACAAAAGGTACGCCCGAACTTGATGCCTCCCTCTCTCACTACCGTGTTCCATGTCTGCATGGCAGTATTATCATCAGCCGTCCCATCGTCGCTGTAAAATGGGGGATCGATCTCGCAGGACTGCACCCAGCCACCTGGCTTACAAGTGCGGTAGGCTTCAGCAAAGAGCGCGTTCCAGTCGGCAATGGCGCCAAAGAGGTAGCGCAGATGAACAAAGTCAAAGGTGTTTTCTGGCCAACTCCAGTTTCCGGTCGCGTCTTCGAGCTCAAACTTGATATTTGGGGGAACCCAGGTTGGTTGGATAGGTGACAAGTCAGTGCCGATGATCTCGGCGCCAGGAAACTCGTCAGCAAAATCACTGTCATGCGTTAGTGATTCATAGGCTAGGGTACATGTCCTTAGTTCTGGCTCTGACGCTTACATTGCCCAAATGCCTGTATCTCTAGATTAGCATATGCCACATGTATGTGATGGGCGAATCTCACCAGTTCCTGTGCCCACATCCAGAACTTTCTGCCTCATGTTAGGAGGCCCCCATCGTTTATACATGTCTGAGTCAACTTGCCTGCACATCTTTCTTCAGTGGCGCTAGGAACAGCTTATTGTCAAGGAGAAGGGTGAGATAGTGGTGTCTATGAGGCTCAGCTTGTGGCGATGTGTGGTTCAAACAAGTTGATTTACGTGATGTCCATAGATTCACTCTGCTGATCATCGTTTGGTGCAAAGTACTCCGTGTTGTACTTTTCGCTGTGAAAACTGCGACCCTGAATGGTCCGATAGTGAAGAATGCTCGATGTGATAGACGCAGTTGAACTCGAGCTTTGATGTGTCAATATTGAGAAGAAGAATATCGGACAGAGTCTACTTGCGCGTCATCACTTCCAAGAGCCGAGTCATTGTCATCATCTTGCTCTTCATCATCCTGCAGAAGAGAGGTCTGTTAAGCGACCGATTATGGATGCGGGACTTGTGCCAGTATTTACCCTGATAGCGACCGCTTCCCCGGGAGCAAGGTTCGTCCGGGGACTTTGGCTTCGAGACTTCTGACCTGTGGGTGAAGTGGACATTTTGAGAGATAGTTTCAGTTGGATGGGCAATGTAGCAAGTGGCTTCACGTCGAGAGCAAATGCGAGAGGAGGAAAAGACAGGCACAGTTCGACAAGGACGGATTATTATTAAATCAAATGGTCCGATTGACGCGCGGAGGCAACGGAAGCGGGCAGGTATGATATTGGCTGAAGATAAATTACCGCCGCATGAAGAGTGACTGTTGATCCTTGCTTGTGCAGTTACCCGACCCTGTCTTTGATGCGTGTTGGTTGACAACCTGCCGTTCCTGGGGTTCGTTGGTTGCAGCGATTGTTGAGGGTATCATTCTCCACCCAAAAAGGTTTACAGGGCCTTGACAAGGTTGTTTGGTTGCTTGTGAGTTGTGACAACTAATGCCTGCTCTTACGAAGAGACAAGGAGAGTCGCAAGTCCAGCCACAGCCATGGCGGCAAAACCACGAACAATGTTCAAAGAGGCACCGGAGGTCGCCTCAGGGGTGGGCGTGCCCTGGGTCTCGGTACCAGTGGCCTCAGCGCCGGACTCCTTGGCACTGGTTGCGTCGGAAGCAGACTTGGCGGTGTTGGAGGCGTCGTCGCCGGTGGTGGCTGCGGAGTGCGTAGCAGCAAGGAATTCCTGACCAGCAGTGATGGTGACGGTAGCGTAGGACAACATGGCGAAGTCGCTTGCACTCTTGTCTAGATCAGAGAAGGTCGCAGTGGGGGTTCCATCATCGTTGCCACCAAGGTTGGTGGTAGTGCACTCTTGAGCGATAGTCCGGCTCATCTTGCAGTGAATGGAAAACTCAAAGGGCTCATATGGGTCCGGCATGGTGAGGTAGTAGTCAAGGTAACCAGTAGAAGCGGCACCAGCCGGAAGAGTCTTGCTGCCCCAAGGGCCCACGGCGACAGTGTTGTTGAAGGTACCACACTCGCCATCTTCAATAATCTTTTCGTCACAGTTGAGAACGTAAGTGGTTGCCGTGGCTTCAGCACCGATGACCTCGGCGACGAAGGGTCCCTCGTAGAGAAGGGGGAGAGTGGTGGTGATGGCTGAAGACATGGTGGGCAGGTTGTATTATTAGATGGACACGGCCAAAGAGTGGATGGGGTGAAAACGCCGTGTGGCTTGATTAAAGAACGTGGAGAAAGAGAAAGAAGATGTTGGTTCTCACTCAATATGGAGAAGAGAAGCAAAGAGGCTAAAAGACCGAAAATGTCGGGATTAAAGAGGTAATAAAGGCGGGTTTCAGAAGGGGAAAAAAAAGGGGGCGGCGAGAACTCGGCCGCGATGGATGGCAAATTAGCGCTCGGTTATGGATCATGGAACCCTGCCCACACGTGATGCTGATTGGCGATGCTACGATATAATCTGGGGTCAAGAAAAGTTTGGTCGGAGTTAACACGGTCGTATTCATATTCAAGATGCCAAAGTCTAACGCTGTAAACTGCGTGAGGGTTTCTTAGTATGCAAGCCAAATAGAAGAGCCTAAGAGACAGCCACAGAAGACGTTAGATGACAATTATCACAACCGACGCTGTCACTTGACTGGCTCACCGTCTTTGCTTTAATTTTACCGTTAGCTGAAACTCTTCGGCGTTTACTACTTCGAGGCTAGACTGCTCTTGAGCATGACAGGAGGATTGCGGCTAACCAGACATGGCCTCTGCAATGACCAGGTATCCGCAACTTTCTTTGTTATTAATGGTTCCTAATGGTGACTAAGGTGCTAACCGTAATATATGTAATCACAGCTCTCCAGCCGAGGGGCAATGTCCGCAAGTTGCATCACGGGCGGAAGGCAAAAAGCAAGACAACCCACCAACCACGCTTCGTGATAGAGGCAAAAAGAACATACAACAGCAGGTATTCGCTGGTCGTCACCGACCCAACTACTAATCCACCCCTTACAGGCTTGACTATGGGAGAGCGGACGGGATCCCGTATTTTCCGGTAGGTATGGTCGTATGTAGGAGAGAGGTTCGTAGGAGCAGCTCAGAAAGGCCAGCTGGTGCCTGACAAAAGCGCTACCTGTCTCTCTCTTATTTAAAGAGGATGAGCTCATTTGTATTTAAGAAGCCGTATAGTAGTTCTATCATCGCCGCAAAGCAGGGGCTGGTCAAGCGCTGCTGACCAGTGTGGCTAACAGACCGACCGTCTGATAGACCGTCTGATAGACTATCTTTAAACCGCAGACCGACCGACCGGCAAATCTCATCAGACCGATAGACCAGAGCTGCCGGTCGGATTAAGTGGTCTAGGTTGGTCTAGGTTAGGGTAGTTTCTAGGGCTACTATTAGTCAGCTCTAGCTTACTTTTACTTTAAGTTATATAATACGACGCGTCTACGTAATACGACGCGTTTACCTCAGTGAATTTTCGTATTATACTAATCTATCTAAGCTATTATTAATTCATACTATATTATTATATCTTCTAGCAGAACTATAAGCCATATATTATTAATACCGTAGTCTCTTCTATCTCGCCTACCTCCTATCCTAGCTAATAATGGTTTTAAAGGCATGCCTGCCTTACGCGAGGCTATAACTAATAAGATAAATATATTACTATGCGAATTTAAAATTAATTAGGAGAATATCTAGCACGGTAGCAAACGACTTATAGGCGCTAAAAAGAGGCCCTATCATAGGCATATTATTAGCACTAAGATTAAAGAGTTATAGATATACCGACATAGCGCTAATTTAGAGCATCATAGGGTATATTACTAGCTTTATAGGATCTATTATATAAAGAAGAGCTATTTGATAGCTCTATATATCTCATTGGGGATATCTTATGCCGCGAGGTACCTACTCTATTAGCACTAAATCATAGAGGCAAGGGAGAGTAATCCCAGCTTAGTAACTCCGTTTATATTAGCGGCGATATCTAGCTCTTTATTATCCTATCTTTTATCGCGGTAAGCTAGCCTTGGCTTATAGCTTACTTTATATTTTAATGAAGGAATATAGAAAGCTCGCTTTATAAACTAGATTATAGTCAAAGATATTACCTTCTGATAGGTATCTAGTAAGCGCCTTTGATAGCTAATAGCAAATAGTAGGGAGCTTATAAGTTAGCTACTTCTAGAATATTATACTATAGTTTATTTATAGATCCGCTAAACCTTTAAATCCCGATGGCAAATTATTACTAATCTTATTAAGAACGTAATGAGCTTAATTTACCTAAGCTTTGACCTATAGACTACTTCTAATAGGTATAACTACGTTAGAATTATCGGCTACTTCGTTAATAGCAATAGCGAAAAGCATAATATCCTTCTTAGGCTACCGCGCCTAATTAATCTATACTCCGGTAAGAATATTGCCCCTTATGTAAAGGGGGTAATTAATTAATACGAAATAGGCTCCAAGCTTGGCTACTTTATGCTTAATAACGCTAAGAGTAACGATACCTACCTAGAGGCACTCGCGAGATAGTTCCTAATAGATATTAGCCGATGCCACTTATATTATATCGGCTATATTATTAACCTGGTTATCTGGGCCGTTATCTTCGGCTCAAATATTAATAAATTCGAGATAGAGCTTTATAGGGCTATGGATAAATTCAGTTTTAATATTTAGGCTAAGAAAGGGGCTATCGGCAGACTCCATAACCTCGCCACCTATATCCACCAGACAGACCAGAGACGATAGGCACTTCGGCATTTCTAGACCGAGCTCGCAAGGGATAATACTATATTTATATTAGAGATCATTATTAATAGCAAGACACGCTAGAATTTAATTTATAATATAATTAAATATTATATAATATTCTACCCTTATTACCTATATTAGATATTTACTAACTCTAGATTAATTTATCCTAGCACTCGAGCTACGCAGCGCTATCGAGCTTTATTAATCCTATTAGTAAAAACCAAAAAATAATCCAATCTACTATAACTTAACGAAGGATTTCCTTAACGCTATAGACTAGGCTAAACTAAAGCGCTTCTATAACTTCCTAAAGCTATTTTATATCCTTACGAAGACTATAAAGGGCAACGCTAATAAACTAGGCGTAGAGGGCAGGCATAATATAATATAAGAGACCCTTAAGATAATAGACTACCTATTTATTAAATTTAAATAGGCCGCAGAGGAAACTTAGTTTAAGGAGCCCTCCTATTTTAAATTAAGAATCGACTATAGATAGGCAAAGCTTAAAGATTATTATATTAAATCAGACTATATACCTATCTACTAAGTAGCGCTAGCCCTTTACCTATCATATAGGTATAATTACTTTAAGTAGCACTAGAAAACTATGATAGATAGACCGCAATAGTACAATGATATATAGTCCGCTATAGGTAGCCTATTCGGCGAATACGCCTAATAGGCTAAAGTTAAAGCTTAAGCTTAAGTAGGGCTTTTAGAAGGCAAAGTTAATAAGATTAAAGCTAACATTAATAACTATAGTTTATTTAGGAAAAGATTAATCTACTCCTTAAATATGTAGCGAAAGAAAGTTAAGATAATTAGCGAGCTTAATATATTTCAGATATAGCTAATTTACGCCTATAATCTCGATATTATAGACCCTCTTAAATAGTAGAATTAATATTAATTAGAATATCTAGTTTTATATTAAATAGCGCTAGATCTATTCTCGATTCCTAGTATAAGTTCTAAATACGAAAGGGTATTTAGCTAGACTAAGAAAATAATCACGGATAAGCATAACCGGCTAGTACCTAAGGTAATCGAGGCCGATTAGCTTTAAAAATAATAGCTAATAAGAGGGCTAATAGTCTAAGTTTATTAGTAGTACCTCTATAGAATAGCAGAAAGGGTTTTATTATATCTAGTAACTATTCAGGGAATTATTTTAATTGCACCGGTTAAACCTCGGTATAGGACTATTAGACCGACCTAGACCGACTAGTAGCGCACCTAGACAGACCAAGACCGACCGACCGGGAGCCTTGACTAACCCAAACCGATAGACCGAAGGGGCCGGTCTAGGTCGGTCGGTTTGTTAGCCACACTGCTGCTGACAACCTGAGGGAAAGTCTCCCTTCGACCCCACACCACCAGGATAAGCAATTCACGTATTGCTCAGTAAAAACTCAGCCCATTTGAGATATTATTCAAACTACTATGAGATATACTGAGTACCACTATCGAAGTCGCCAAGCCACCTTGGCCACAGGTCTCGCTATACACTGTCTTGTTCTGGCATACTCCAAGTCCCATTTGCAAACCAGGTACCTGCTTTTGTGTAATCCAACGCTACCCTGTCTCGCATATAAGCAAAACGAAAATATTCTGGAAGTTCAAAGTCTGTCGCTCGTGCCCACGAGAAGTTGTAGGCGGAGGTGGTCTCGGGGAAGAAGCGGCGGTATCTCTCGACGTCGTTTACGAGTACACTAATGCCATTAAACAGGGGCGTTGGTGGTCCCTCCCAGGAGAATGAAATGTTGAATCCTGTCGCGGTTGATGCAATGACTGGCGTGTCTATTGTAGGGACGAAAGAATTAAAGGCACCGTCCTGACGCAGATCGGCAGGTGTCTGCAGAACAGAGTCAAACCCCCATCGGGCGATCCCGTTGACGAAAAGGCCTAACAGTATGCCTTGATACAACAGTGAAGATCGAGTCTGGACGCTCGTACCTGGGAGTAGCAGGAGGGCCAAGATGTAGTGGTGGATACGAAGGTCGACTTCGGGTACGACGACAAAGAAGACGATTCCAAGAATGAAGAGCCCATACAGAGCGAGATACGGCAACATGCGTCTCTCCAACCAAAAGACGTATACTTGTTGGCAGACGATTGCTACAAGGATGCAAATGATGACGGCGAGTGCTACCTTGGCTCCAGGTTGTTGCTCCAAATCATGTGCCGTGAGTCGATTAATGGGAATCCAATCCAGTGTGTAGTTGGAAAGGGCTCCAAGCCAGAAACCGCCCAGCCAGAACAGGACCTTCTCAAATTGTGCTTCCAAGCCAGATAACGCTCTTGAAACACAAGCCTTGTAAATGATGGCGGCGCAGAATAGTGCTGGAAGCAATCTTCCAGCGAGGGAGGAGATGTGATCTGGAAGGACAGAAATATTGAAATGGGAGGCTGTTGGGGGATCGGATGCTAGACCGACATGAGTAAAAATGGCGATGAAGACGATAAAAAAATGCAAGGCCGGCGATGTT